CCAACTGCCAGTGGTGCTCTACTAGATCATCCCGGAGCCGATCATGAGTGGTTGCATCCTCAATCTGACAATGTGCTTGAAGAAAAGCGTGTATGCGAGAAAGGTTTCTTTTCGGTTGCACACGGGTACCAACATTGTCATAGAAACAAGGGAGGTTTAACCCTCTCTCATCCTCTAGGATCATGTTGTGTAGAATCACACAACATTTCATGATGTTCATCAAGGTTTTTTTGTCCCAAAATCGAGCTGGACCACGAACTATGGCAAATCTTGCTTGCAAAACACCGAAAGCTCTCTCAATATCCTTGCGGGCTGCCTCTTGTGCCTTGGTGAAATGAGCCTCTTTTCTTGTTAAGGGCACCCCATTTTTCTCCTTGATGGACTTCACAAGAGTTTCCCATTCAGGATAGATGCCATCGGTGAGATAGTATCCCATTGAGTACTCATTGTCCATGATTTTGTAGTTGCAAGCTGGAGCATCCCCAGAAATTAATCTTTTGAACAAAGGAGATCTGTTGAGGATATTGATATCATTGAGTGTTCCCGGCAACCCAAAGAATGCATGCCAAATCCATGTTTCCTGAGATGCTACGGCCTCAAGCACAATGGTAGCATCACGGCTTTTACCGCAATACATTCCGTGCCATGCCTTTGGGCAATTTTTTCACCTCCAATGCATGAAATCAAGACTACCTAGCATCCCCGGCCATCCCCCTTTTTCATTCATTTCCATTAATCTCTTTGTATCTTCCTCGTTTGGTGCCCGAAGATACTGCTCACCGTACAACCGGATGACCAACTTGGCAAACCGACGGGCTGACTCCGTGGTTGTATCTTGCCTAATGCGAAGATACTCGTTAGTATAATCCGCGGGTATGCCATAAGCGAGTACCCGCATTGCCGCCGATATCTTTTGATATGCACTAAACCCCATGATACCGGCGGCGGATCTACGACGTTTAAAGTAATAGGAGGCGGCCTCACAATCGGTGACAATCTTCACAAACAAACTACGCCGCATTCTGTACCTTCTGCGGAAGAGACAAGGAGGGTATGTAGGTACCTCCGTGAAGTAGTCTTCCATCAAATGCTCGTGTCCGAGAGCGCGGTTCCAGTAGATGGTGACTCGGCCCATCTTCGACCCTCTCCTCTGATCCATCAGCTTCACGCGGTTTTCAAATGATTGCACGTCGATGAGGAGACTCATCATCTCGACGTCGTCATCTTGCAACAACTCGTCGATGTCCGAATCGTCGGATGACGACCAACCCGACGAATCGGACAACGAGTCCATGTCATTGTTGTTCACCTCCATCTACACAATACAACAAACAATAAATTGTGAGTGCCAACAATGAATCAGAAAAAAAAATGAAGCATACCTTCGG